AATTGTGGAACCAGAAAATCATTCTTTTACAACCGCCAAAGAAATAAGCAATTTGGGCAGTGACTTATCCATGAATGTAAATATTATTAGGTGAAAGACTGTCAAGAAACAGATATTCACACAGTATTTGTAGATTATATATTAATTATAGAAGCTAAAATGTACCTTTACAATAGAGAAATCTGGGAGACATTGCTTCAATCAGATGATCAAACGTTATTACCAGTCATCAAGAAAACTGGCATCACAGGGCCAAATGACATTACTCGTATCTTGGCAAAAATATTTGACCTTCATCAAGTGTGTTGGGAAAACTCAGACAAATCCATATTGAAGGGCTTCTTGCAATAAAGGTCTGGATCCTTCAAAGATGTTTTTTATCAGAAAAGACAAAAAAGGTGGGGGGACCACTGGATATTAAAGGAGAGCAAAGAAGACATGACAACCAAAGGTAACACATGGTCTTTAGATGGATACTGGTTTGGGGGGAGAAACATCTAGAAAGGACGATGGGAGAGATTTGAATATGAACCAAATATTGTATAATAGTATTGTATCAATGTTAAAGCTCCTAACTTCCAAGAACATTGGGGTTAATTAAAATGTCCTTGTTCTTAGGATACATATGCTGGGGTATTTAGGGGTAAAGTGTCATAAACCTCCAAGCAAATCTTGAATGGGAAAGAAGGGAAGGAAGGAAGGAAAAAGAGTGAAAAAAACTTGTAAAAAGAGCAAGGGAAGGATGGACAGAAGACAGGGAGGGGGAAGACAAGGGGGGAGGGAGGGAAAGAAAAGCCGAGAGAGAGAAGCAAATGTGAAAAGCTGTTCACATCTGCTGTGTCTAAGTAAAGATACATTGGTACTCCTTGTACTATTCTTGCGACTTTTCTAAAGGTTTTTAATTGTCCAAACTAGTAAGAAAAGCAAGTTAGGTTTGAATTCTAGCTTCCTTTTCATATACAGTCTTAGTAGGAAATAAGCTAAATTCTTTGGAATCTCATAAGTTGAAATAAGTTAACCCTGACTTAAAATCAAAGAACACTGATTTCTGTGATCTTTACCATCAAAAAGACAGATATTCACAGAAGCAGGTCAAAGCTCTGGCAGGTCCGAGCTCCCATTTCTGTTGGCAACCACCAGCTGGAGCTGGTCCACCTGCTTGGAAGGAAAAAGAGTGAAAAAAAATTGTAAAAAGAGCACGGGAAGGATGGACAGAAGACAGGGAGGGGGAAGACAAGGGGGGGAGGGAGGGAAAGAAAAGCTGAGAGAGAGAAGCAAATGTGAGAGGTTGTTCACATCTGCTGTGTCTAAGTGAAGATGCATTGGTACTCCTTGTACTATTCTTGAGACTTCTAAAGGTTTTTAATTGTTCAAACTAATAAGAAAAGCAAGTTAGGTTTGAATTCTAGCTTCCTTTTCATATACAGTCTTAGTAGGAAATAAGCTAAATTCTTTGGACTCTCATAAGCTGAAATAAGTTAACCCTGACTTAAAACCAAAGAACACTGATTTCTGTGATCTTTACCATCAAAAAGACAGATATTCACAGAAGCAGGTCAAAGCTCTGGCAGGTCCGAGCTCCCATTTCTGTTGGCAACCACCAGCTGGAGCTGGTCCACCTGCTCTGTGTGGATGGGGCATGCTCTCTGATTCCTAACAAGCCCCTACAATCTGCCTCCTACCTGATGCGTGTATTCACCCATGCTTTCATTTTTGTTGTCTGCCTGGTCTCTGGGGATGTCTGAGTTGGAGACAAGGGCCAAACATCAAGAGCACGGGCTTGTGCTGGTACTACATTGGGGATTATTCCCTGCAGTGTAAAGTTCAGGATAGCAAGATCTAAACACCGCTTAGGCTCTATATGGCTTTTTACAGGTTCACAGAGACATCATCTGTTGTGCAGTGAATTGTCTCTCCCCAAGCTTCCCAGGTGGCACTAGGGGTATAGGACCCCCCTCCCAATTCAGGAGACATAAGACACCTGGTTTCAGTCCCTGGGTCTGGAAGATCCCCTGGAGGAGGGCATGGCAACCCACTACAGTATTTTCACCTGGAGAATCCCAAGGACAGAGAAGAGAGCTACAGTTCAAAGGGTTGCAAAGAGTTGAAAAGGACTGCAGTGACTTAGCATACACACATGCAAAATTCATTTGTTAAAGTCCTATCTTCTAGAACCTCAGAATGTGACCTTGTTTGGAAACAGTGTTGTTGAAGATGGAATTTAGTTAACATGAGGTCATACTGGATAGAGTGGCCCCTGATGCGATATGACTGGTGTCTTTATTTATTTTAAAAAAAGAAAGGAGTGGAGTTTGGACCCAGCCACACATACAGGGAGAACATCATGTGAAGACGAAGGCAGAGATCAGTGTGATGCAGTGTCCATAAGCCAAAGGACACCACAGATGGCCAGCAAACCACCAGAAGCTATGTTACAGGGAAGAGCCAATTACAGCTCCATTTGGATCTCTTTCTTTAACCTTTGCTTCCTGCTGCTCTTGTTCACTGAAAGGACACTGCCCATGCAAAGTGGCCTGCCTCAGAAACCCCTGCCCCTCTACCTGACTATTAAACCAAAATGCCCTTGTTCAGGCCCCTGTCCACCTGTGGGTGGCAGGATGAAAGAAATAAACACATCCCTGCCTGAGGATTGCCATTCTAGGAGATATTTGCAAGATTAATGGCCTCTTTACTTTGTTTCCTCACCTCCCCCCATCTCTGTTCTATAAAACAACCTGGCATCCAGACCCCAGTAAGATGGTTATGTTGAGGCATTAGTCTGCCACCTTCTCAGCCAACTGATTTTCTGAATAAAGTCATATCCCTTGCCTCAATATCACATCTCTTGGATTTATTCAGCTGTTGTGCGGTGAGCAGAGTGAGCTTGGATTCAGTCACAGCCGGGGAAGAGGTCTGGAACAGACTGGTCCTCAGAAGAAGCCAACCCTGCCCACATTTGTTCACTGAAAGGACACTGCCCATGCAAAGTGGCCTGCCTCAGAAACCCCTGCCCCTCTACCTGACTATTAAACCAAAATGCCCTTGTTCAGGCCCCTGTCCACCTGTGGGTGGCAGGATGAAAGAAATAAACACATCCCTGCCTGAGGATTGCCATTCTAGGAGATATTTGCAAGATTAATGGCCTCTTTACTTTGTTTCCTCACCTCCCCCCATCTCTGTTCTATAAAACAACCTGGCATCCAGACCCCAGTAAGATGGTTATGTTGAGGCATTAGTCTGCCACCTTCTCTGCCAACTGATTTTCTGAATAAAGTCATATCCCTTGCCTCAATATCACATCTCTTGGATTTATTCAGCTGTTGTGCGGTGAGCAGAGTGAGCTTGGATTCAGTCACAGCCGGGGAAGAGGTCTGGAACAGACTGGTCCTCAGAAGAAGCCAACCCTGCCCACACCTTGATCTCAGATGCCCAGCCTCCAGAGCTTTGAGAGAAACCATGCCTGTTGTTTAAGCACCCAGTCTGAGGTTACGCGGACCCAGGACACTCACACACCTTCCAGGGCTGCTCACAGAGGGAAGGCAAAGGGGACTGGAGAGCGGAGAGGACAGGTAAGCAGATTCGACACACACTGGCAAGGCCATCTCTGCCATCTACTATAAAGACGGACACGTTCCAAACAATGCTCCCCTGTTGTCTCAGCTTTACAACAGGAATATAACAGCATCCACTCATGAGAAAGCTGCACAGGTTAATCTGGTTAGTATTTGAGAACCACTTAAACGAGTGTCGGACACAACTGAGCGACTGAACTGAACTGAACTAAACGAGTGTATTTAAAGAGGAGATACATTGTTTTTTATGTGTTCATATAGCTGATTCACTTAACTGTACAGCAGAGACTAACACAATATTTTAAATCAGTATACACCAATAAAAATTTTTAAAAAATAATAAAGGAAACACTGAGCTGGAAAAAAATAGTCTTTACTTAATAAGTGATATGTAGTGCTGTTTTTTATTTGTATTATTGTTATTATTAATCTTGCTATGGCTGTAACTTTGTTCCAAACTTTGGAAGATCTTAAGTGAAGATGTTTTCATAGCAGGAAGAGTTATGGACCATGGGAGAACTCTTCCTGGCTTCGGGATCCCTCGGCACCATCAGCATACGACCTGGAACAGAGTGCAGTCCTTCTCTGGGCCTACTTTGCTTTCACTTTTCTAGAGTGTAGGTGTGAAAGCAAACCTCCAGCCCCGACCCCTGTGTTTTCTGAGCTCAAGCAGGCTCAGAGGGGCCCCGTGAAGATATGTGGTCAGAGTCTGGCATTTGCCAAGGGCCCTGTTGATGATCGCGTCATCAACACAATGGACATGTACTTGAGCAAACTCCAGGAGATAGTGAAGGACAGGGAAGCCTGGCGTGCTGCCGTCCATGGGGTCACGGGGTTGCAAAGAGCCTGACATGACGTAGTAACTGAACAACAAGGACCCTACAGCAGATTCTCTTTGGACCTAGATTTTAAACTTCTGTCATTTTGTACATTTTTTAACAATGCATAGACCTGGTACTTTCAGACATACTGTGGATTTGTTGTGTGAAAAAATGACCCCTCCTAATTCCATTAAGATTGGAAGGAATCCCTGAGAATATGCATACCCTCCTCAAAAATTAGAAGAATTCCTTTCCTGTTGGCACAGGGGATGGGATCAGACAGGAACAACGGGTGAGAGCTAGAGAAAAGCACTGAGTTCAAGACTTTATATCTGAAAACTTAATGCTGTTCTATAAGTAGCTTTCAAGGTTCTCAGTGATTTCCATGTGTAAGTAGAAAAGAGAGAAATACCTGAAGAGGGAATTTAAATGTGAAATTACAGGGTCAAGAAGCTGACACAAGTCCTTTGTCTCCATCACCATCCCTTCCTGAGATCAAGGTCACCATACGATTTTCCTGGGCATCGTTGATTAAGAAGCACAGCATATAAAATGTAAAGCATGCAATAATAATTCACTTTAGATGAAGCAAAAAGTCTTCACTTACCCAAGGGAGGCTGAACCACAGTGAGACGGACAGTTACAGACTCACGGACATCCAGCCCCTTCATCTCAGCCACACAAGTCACAGTGCCGTTCCCCTGCGGCGTCAGAGCAAGGATGCTCTCTACACTTTGAAGGTCCTCAGGCTCCGGGATGGAATAATAGCTCGAATGGCTCACGGGAACCCCTATCTCCCAGGAAAGACCTGGGAGCGGGGTCCAGTTCAGCGCACGGCAAGTTACGTTACAAGGATTGTCCTCAGTGACTACAAGGCTGCCTCCAGGAATGAGCAACTGCCCCACGACTAAGGGAGAGAAGAGAAATGCTCGAGGGGATGATCATGCCTCTCAGGGCCAGATTTTTCCAAAAACTGTCCTCCAGATCACATTGCATGAGCACTGCCTTCCCCAGCCCAAACTGACTGTGTCTGTATCCGAAAACCATAAGTCAGGTTTGATCTGTGTATTTAGTTTACACCTGTCACGTTCACAGAAGAAGGGGAGGTGGCTCACCAGAAAATATAGATTCCAGAGCAAATGAATAAATAAAAAATCAGGATCCAGGGACTTGGGAAGCATACTTAATTCAAACACTGTGTTCTCTTTCAACACACAATTTTCTTCTATTAGTTTTGATTGCATTTCGTCTTTCTGTTCTATTCCATGTATCTAGAATCTCTGTTATACGCATATAGAAACCCTGGGATTCATTCTTCAAGTGGTTATCTATTTATATTTCTGTTTAATTGTATTCTTTCACCAAATTCTTGGAAAATTTTAGGGGTTTGTCTTTCATGTTAACTGATCATTTATTTTGTTGTTAATTATAACAAATCTGTAGTTCTCATCTTTCCATGTTTTTTCACTTAAGGGTTTTTTAATTGTCTTAAAGCAATCTCCTCTGATTGACTGTTATTACCTTTTGAAAATATCCTTATTAAATTTCACAGGTAATAAACAATTAGCATTTTCTTTAAAAAAAAATCAGGATCCAGGGAAATATAAATTACATGGGAAAGATGGGATGAATGCGCCCACCACCGAGGACTACAGGATCACTGCAATGGAGTTGCAAACTTGTCCTGGGCTGCCCTAAGAACCAATGCGAAAAGGAAAAGAACCTTTACATTCTTTTCATTGTAGAGAGAACACATCTCAGAGTTTCATGATGGAAGCAAGTCTCTCCTGGCCTTTCTTTAATCAATTAGATTCATTTTTCTTTATTTTGGGACAACAGATTTTAAAATATTATTTCCTATGATATTGCCTTAAAATATGTTTCTAGGTACAAATTAGATACAAATCTAATCTAATTATAGAAATAACTACCTTAAATCCTGTATCAGAATATATTAGATCAATTATTTTAAAGTTTTTAATAAAGACTCCCTTGCATGTGCCAGGGCTCACACTGTAAATAAACCATCTGAAAATGGCACTTATATGTGCTACTATTACTAAAATAACCTGAGGAATGGCCCCAGAAAAGACACAGCCATAGTGAATTACATAGACATTGAAACATTCAAATTAAAATTTCCTAAATCTCCCTCTCACATTTTATAATGGAAAAAACACTGGACTAAAAATCAAAGAATCTGTTCTGGATCCTGGCTTTCCCACAAAATTGTCATCACCTTGGGCAGATCACTGAAAATCTCAGGCTCTCTTTTTACTACCTGGCGAGCAAGAGGTTTTAACTTAGATCAGTGGTTCCCAAACATTTTGGTTTTAATACCTTTCTTACTCTTAAAAACCACAGAGGATACCAAAGACCTTTGGTTTAGGTGGGGTCTATCTATATTTCCCATATGTGAAATTAGAATTAAATATTTGCTTATTTTCAAACACATATTTTAAAATAACATTAGTAACCCATTACTTCCAGATGGCTCAGAAGATAAAGAATCTGCCTGCAACGCAGAAGTCCCCGGGCTTGATCACTGGGTCAGGAAGATCCCCTGGAGAAGGGAATGGCTAACCACTCTCGTATTCTTGCCTGGAGAATTCCATGGACAGGGGAGCCTAGTGGACTACAGTCCAAGGGATCACAAAAAGTTGGACACAACTGAGCAACTAACACTTTTGCTGGTTAATACGGATTAACATATTTTTATGAAAAAAATATATTTAACCCAAAATAAATTAGTAAGAAAAATGACATTGTTTTCTATTTATTCAAATCTCTTTAATATCATGTGGCTGCCTTCAATCTGTTGCCATATATTGTTTTCTTTGGAGTACATAAAGAAAATATGAAAATCTAACTTCACGCAGATGTATGTTTAGAGTGGTAAGGAGGCTTTTCGGAGCATCATGGTTATTCTTTAATACTACTCCAAAACTTGACAAGTAGTGTTTTCTTAAAGTTCAGTTACATTGTGGAGGGCTTCCCTGGTGGCTCAGGCATTAAAGAATCTGCCTGCAATGCAGGAGACCTGGATTCAGTCCCTGGGTCGGGAAGATCCCCTGGAGAAGGGAACAGCTACCCACTCTAGTATTCTGACTTGGAGAATTCCATGGACAGAGGAACCTGGCTAGCTACAGTCCATGGTGTTGCAAAACGTCGTACACAACTGAGCGACTTTCACACACGCTGTAAACTGAAACCACACAAATAAACTTTCATTCTGTTACATTAGAATTCGTTGCTCTAGCTGGCACTTTGAATGGATCTTTTATCCTTGCATGATTTTGTATCATACATCAGTCACTTGGAAAATACCAGTCCACTAAATTATGCAGACCTTCCCAGTGTACAGTGGGAAGCTCCCTGTATACTCATGACGATGCGTGAGAAAGGCAATAACATCTTAATATGACTATGGAAACAGGTATTCTCATAAACCACCCTGAAAGATCCTGGGAAGACCCTGGGGAGTTTCCAGACTTGACTGAATGGAATCAGCTCTGAAAGCCCTTATTACTCTGAAATGTTAGATTTACCATTATTTCTTTCTTGAATAGTGTCTTAGAGTAAGTGAAGCACATTAGCTATCTCAAGGATTACTGTAAATATAATGAGAGAGGAATGGATTTGTCCCTCTGCAGGCTGCAGGGCTTTGTGCTTATTCTTTTCATTTCATTCATTGTTTCATGATGGAGATGTTTAAGAAGACAGGAACTGGAGAGGAATATCACTGCTTTAGTGATCTTGTACTCCAGTCTTAGTGGCCCTCAAAACACCTGAGGTCTAGATTTCAGTGTGTGATTAATTGGTGGATTGGGCAGTAAATAGACAAACTCAATTTGAAGCATTTTCTTTTCCGGTATGTATATTTGGAGCCAACCTAGAATACTTCATGAGTCCCTCATCTCCCTTCACAATTTGAAGCTGACCTTGCCTCCCTCTCATTGCACTGGCCAGCATCTACATTGCACCACTGCTGTTTATGCCCTTGCATTATCCACTTTGTTGTTGTTATTGTTATTTTTCAGTCACTCTGTCGTGTCTGACTCTTTGTGACCCCATGGACTGCAGCATGCCAGGCGTTTCTGTCCTTCACCATCTCCTGGAGCTTGCTCAGACTCATGTCCATTGAGTCAATGATGCCATCCAACCGTCTCATCCTCTGCCAACCCCCTACTCCTCCTGCCTTCAATCTTTCCCACCATCAGGGTCTTTTCTAATGAGTCGGCTCTTCGTATCAGGTGGCCAAAGTATTGGGGATTCAGCTTCGGCATCAACTCTTTTTTGTAAATATTTATTTGGCTGTGTTGGGTCTTAGTTGCCGCACAAAGGATCTTTGTTGCTGGATCTTTGTTGCAGCCTGCAGGATCTGTCATGTGGCACACAGATTCTGTAGTTGTTGCAGGCAGGCTTAGTTGCTCCATGGCATGTGGGATTTTAGTTCCTTAACCAGGGAGTGAACCCCAGTCCTCTCCTTCACAAGGTGGATTCTTAACCACTGGACCACCAGGGAAGACCCTATCTACTCTTCTTGAGGACAGGATTGTGGCTTATTGCACTTGCCTCTGAGTCTTCCTTAAATGCCTAATGCAATGGTGTGTTCCTATTGGGAGCACAATACATAATAGCAAATGACTACATGGAGATTGCTATGAATCAGGTGCTGTCCTAAAGGCTTTTATATAGACCTACTCTTCTGATCTCACAGCTGCCCTGTGATGAGGAAACTAAGGCACAAGGTCACTAAGTAATATGTTCAAGGTCACACAGTTAGTGATAAAACTGGAATTTGACCTGGTAGCCAGGCTCCCACGCCCCAGGCCTCTCTGGCCTCCAGCTTCATATGCAGTAAATTGAAACAGACAGAGCATGGAAGTCTTCAAACCACCCTCAGTCAGTTTTTCATCTGATCCTCATAGTAAACCTGTGATGTGAGCGGGGGAGCCTTATCCCCACTTTAAATATAAAGAAATCGAGCCATTTCAGGGGTCACCAAGGTGGGATGGAAGCAAAACCAGAACTAGTATCTTTGATTCCTTGTCCTGTGTTCTTTCTTTTATACCACAAATTATTAGAATAACAATTTCATCGTGCAAACTAAGCCAATAATCCAGGTAGCCTCACACGATCACTTCTTTAGAGAATATCATTGTACCCTTAATTAAACCACACAAAATCAAAGACACATAAAAATAAAGATAAAACAATTTGGCTAAATTTAAAAATAAGCAAGTCGAAATAGGTAGACCTGTATCTCCACCAAACATTATCAAATTTGATTTGATAGCAGTGCAAATATAGACCAGATCATTGGAAATTTTTCCTAAACTAACAAATTTGAAAAAATTTCAAAGCCACAATGTAGTCTGTTAAAAGAGATGCTGCCATAGAAATCAGGAACTCTAAAAGCTCCAATACATCTATAAATATTACATAGTTACATTTTCAAGGAATGCAAAATGAGTAAACTCTGATAAAGATATTCTGAATCCCTGTAAAGTATCCTTTTATTTTGTTCACTATGTAGCATAATCTTCAGCACCTCAAAATTACCTTTGATGCCACAACTTCCCTATAATGAAAATGAATGATAAAAGGAAAAATAAGTTGTCCATTATTATAAATTTTGTTACTGTTTTATTTTCTCTAAAAGACATGGTAGGGTTGAGTGAACATGCACCTTTGTAAGAATCACTAAGGGCAGGAAAGAGATTAGGAAAATTCAGCCAGAAAGAGGAAAAAGTTAAAGCATGATTCAAAGCTGATAAATGATGTCAGGCAAAGAAACAAAGCAGGATATGAAAAACTAGAAAAAGGGCAATGATTGCCAACTCTCTCTCTAAGTCAAAGACGAACGGCCACAACTGGCCTTAGAATTCCAGGATATACGTCCAGAAAAGCTGTTCATGCTGAAATTGGTCAGATGGGAAAGTGATTTTAAAAAACTGTCTTTCATAGCCTTAATAAGAGAAAATGGAAAATAAAGGAATGGAAAGATGGAAGGGGAGAGGAAGAGAAGCAGGAAGAAAGAAAGTAGAAAGATTGAGGAAGGGAGGAGAGAAATAAACACAAGACAAAACAGCAAACACTAGTCAGTTCAGAAAAATTCTAAGCATAATGTCAACCAAAGGCAAGTCCACACACTGAAAAAGGAAGGCAGGGAAGAAGGGAAAGAGAGAGGGAGGTGATAAATAAACAGCTAAATATCCATCAGTTCAGAATAATTCCAAGCATAGTACCAAGAGAAGACTAACCCTAGATGTCCCCACATGACATGAACTTCAGAAGGTTCTTTGCAACCTGATGTTTTACCCAGAGGACTCTAAGTGCTCCTCATCAGAGTTGCCTGCATACACACCTTGAACGGAAAGGAAGGCGGCTCCATCCTGGTCGCTGTTCTGGAGGCTGCATTTGACTTGCCCGGCATCGCTGAGTTGCACGTCATGAATTATCATCTCGGAGATGAAGTTCCCGCCCTCTTGGTAGCTCGCAGAGGTGAAGCGGTCACTGGTGATGATGGACCCATTAGGCGTCACGCTCAGCACCACCGTGCCCCTCAGAGCCCACATGATGAGCTTCCAGCCCTGGGAGATGGTGCAGTTGAAGCGAGCCTCCGAGCCCTTCAGGGCCGTGACGTTCTTGGGACCCTCTATGATTTCGCTGCCAGATCCACAGGCTGAAAGACAACCAGTTTTGCAAGTGGGGAAGGGATAACTCTACAGACGTCAGCTGTACCCTGTGTACTAGTCAGGACCATCCAATGGTTCAGACTCCGTGTTTTGCTGGCCCCAACACCAGGGCTCCCAGTAGATCAGGAGCTGCCAGTGGACAGGAAGCCATGTCCATGCCCTCCTTTCCACACCCCCTCGCTCCCAACTCCATAGTCCATGGAAATCCCAGCAAGATTGGGGATGAGGGGGAGCAATGCCCCTCCTCTAGAGGGAACATTCCCTGAAGTATCTGACCCCAGCCTGTCCAGAGAGACACCACTAACCCAGTTCTGTTACTTCAGGCAAGGTCTTCAGCCTCACTACGAAGTGGGAATTTTCCTCCCATTGAAATGGGGAAGAGATATGATTTCCACCTCTGAGGAGATTTCAAGGCTCAAAGAGGGAAGTGCAAGGACGTGTCTGTTCGCACAGCGAGTGGAGACCCCAGCTTGCCATGATCATGGTCCACCACAATCCCCCAGCATCCTTAGGACACACCCGTCACTGGGGCAGGTCTCTTCCAGAGATGAGAAGAGACCCATGGGGGAGACACAGAGAGGAAAAATACACAGAAGGATGTTGGAGAGCGGGATCCCTCAATGAGAACACTCGAGGAAGGCATTCACAGCCTCAGAGTTTCACAGCAGCTAGTGTCGGGTTTAAAACTCCCGCAGGGTTATCATTACCATCTTCCTAAATTCCATATATATGTGTTAGTATGCTGTAACGTTCCTTATCTTTCTGGCTTACTTCACTCTGTATAATAGGCTCCAGTTTCATCCATCTCATTGAGGTGAGGGGGGGGATAGGGATGGGTAATACATGTAAATCCATGGCTGATTCATGTCAATATATGACAAAACCCACTACAATATTGTAAAGTAATTAGCCTCCAACTAATAAAAATAAATGAAAAAGAAAAAAAAACTCCCGCAGGTGAGCATGTGGTTCCAGAGCATAAGACTATGGACTCCGGAGCAAGTAAACTCCTTGACCACACCTCTCACTGTAAACCAGGGCGGGTCACTGGGACTTAAACCCAGAAGGATGCTGCAGGGTCCCCCCAGGTACAGGGCCTCCCCTCCCCCCACTCCCTCCTCTTGTTTGTAGTAAAGCTTTAGCCTCCTAGGCCTTGCCCAAGTCCCAAAGAACAGATTTAACCAGAGAAGTGAAAAAACACACACACAAAGGAAAGCAGTCAAACAAGACAAAATATTAATAGTTTAGCCATAAAACAAAGTCAAGGACCCTTAGCACCACCTCCAGAGCTATAGATAATTTGTTCTTGTTGTTCGGTCACCAAGTCATGTCTGACTCTTTGCCACCCCATGAACTGCAACATGCCAGCCTTCCCTGTCTTTCACTGTCTTCTAGAGTGTGCTCAAATTCATGTCCATTGAATTGGTGATGCCATCCAACCATCTCATCCTCTGTTGCCCCCTTCTCCTCCTGTCCTTAATCTTTCCCAGCATCAGGGTCTTTTCCAACGAGTAGGCTCTTCACATCAGGTGGCCAGAGTATGGTAACTTCAGCGTCAACAACCGTCCTTCCAATGAATATTCAGGGTTGATTTCCTTTAGGATGGACTGGTTGGATCTCCTTGAAGTCCAAGGGACTCTCAAGAGTCTTCTAGATAATGTTCTGAGCCAAATTCTTGAGTTGTTCTGCAGAGTCCAAAACCCGCACCAGGTGAAAGAAGTTAGCTGCTTGCTGCCCACAAGCACAGAGACCGCAGACCAGTTGGAACCAAAAGGTTGATAATATTGATTCCTGAAATACCACCCTGTTTTCTTGCCAATCAGAAGAATGTCCATGAGCTGCTCATGTACTCTGCGACCTCCCCGCTTCACACTGCCTTTTAGCCATCAGGGAGTTTGGGTCTTTTGAGCATTAGCTGCCTGTTTGCCTTGTTCAGCACCTGCAATAAATGCTATATTTTCCTTCACCACAACCTGGCGTCAGCAGCCTGGCTTGGCTATGTGCTAGGCAAACAGACCCAAGACTGATTTACAGCACCACAGCAATTGGTTTTAAGAACCAAATGAGACAATCCATGTAAAGCCCTTAAGATGACACTTAAGCATTCAGGAAGCAGTCACCATTACGTGACTCACAAGAAAACCAAGAAAATCATAGAGGAAAGTAAAATTATTTCCATCACACTTTTCACAGCATTGTACTTTTCCCTCACCAGATGCATTCTGACACTGGTTTTAACTGAAATGACAACTCCTAACTGGCCTTCCCCAGGGAGGGGACCGAGACCAGTCTAGCTCACAGGAACTCAGGCAGAATCACTCAACACGGAGTGTGTTCTGCTCCTGAAGAACTCAAGAATCTTTCGGTCATTTAGATTGATTTTCCTATCACCAGGAAAAGCAAAGTGGTGGCCAGAGTTTTCCTAGACTTTCCCATGTATGTAGCAGTAATTCAAAGTAGAACTTGCATAGCAACCAAGAGTCTTTGAGATTTCTCTTGTGTGTGTGTGTTTTTTTCTTTGTCTTTTTGGATGCACTGGGTATTCACCACTGCAAGCAGGGACTGCTCTTCACTGCAGTGCGTTTGCTTCTCGTTGCAGTGGCTTCTCTTGCTGCAGAACACAGGCTCTGGGCACACGGGCTTGGTAGTTGTAGCATGTGGACTCGGTAGATGCAGTTCTCAGGCTTAGTTGCTCCGAGGCACGTGGGATCTTCCTGGACCAGGGATTGAACCCGTGTCCCCCTCATTAAGAGGCAGACTCTCAACCACTGGACCAGCAAGGAAGCACCCTCTTAGGTTTTAATAGTGAAGAAATCAAGACCAGCAACATCTCAGGACTTGTGAGCACAGAGATGTTGCTGGGACATAAACTCAGTTCTTCCCACTCTGAAGTTTCCCTCTTCCCACTCTTTCCTCTCTGATCTCACTCAGAGTTTATGGCAAACAGACCCCCCTGGCAGCCCACACCCTTGGTTTCTTCCCAGCCGTGCCTGCCACCATCAGTAAAGACTACGTGTCCCTAACACCTTCGGGAACTGTAGGCGCCCCCCTTTCCAATCTTACAAGGTCAAGTTGCAAGGAAGGTTCTACAGGAATCTAATTACTGTATGAAAGATTTCTGGGGAGGAACCTCCCTGCCCACCACTCACTGAAGTACCCAGTATGCCCTGCAGGGGATGTGCCCACCACAGGGCCAGGTCCATTGGAGAGGATGGGAGACAGGGACCCAGATGCCTGTGGGGTGGAGTCAAGGAGGGGGCCCCCAAGGCTTCAAAGAGGCAGAAATAAGAGAAGGTCAAACTTAACTAGACTAATCCCAGATGGGGATAAACATGATCACTATTCTTTGTTTTGCCTCTGGGCATGATAAAAAGAGATAAAGTAAGATCCTAAATAACTCAGAGTGGGTCTTCTCCCTTACCCGTGGGCACGCTTCTCTGATCCGAGGATCCCTCTGGTACGGGATTTAAAAGAAAGAGGCGGGGGGAAGCCTGAGGAAGGAAAGTCAGAAATTATTCCCCAAGGAAGCCACAGCCTCTGTGCCAACTTGGGTCTTTCCACGAGCCCTGAATCTCATCTTAGGAAGAAGCACAAAAGAAAAGAAAAGGCCAAATCTACGCTGCGAGGAAAGAAAGACTAGACACATGGTCATACTCCACACTATGGTTAACAGCATCCTTCCCTGTTCAGACTCTGGTCCGAATGAGCAGATCGGACACAGCCTGAGGGGCTGAATGTGGGAGGGCAGCGGGTGAGACCCAGGCTTGCCCTGCCAGCATCTCAGTCCAGGCCACTCCAACAGGATTAAGCAAAGCATCTGAAACTCTGGTCCCATCACTGCCCGGCACCAGGAAGGTTATTCACTCCAAAACCCTGCTCACTCCAAAACAGTCTTTAAATTCCCTGCAGACTGCAGGTGGGAATAAGAATGCATGAGGGTCCAGACCTTACTGTGCAGGGAAGCAAGGGCGAGGAAGGGACCTGGGCCAAACGGAGATTTCCCATTTGAACTTGGTTTTTAAGCTAAACAGGTGGCACTGAACCCTAATCACTAGACTCCTCTGACATCATTGCCAGTGATCTTTGCTACCACCACAAACTGACTCCCCTCCAGCTCTGCCCTGTGACTCAGAAGCTCTATTGTGGGTGACGTGAGGCCCTGAATTCTCACTGCTCCCTCACCTGCATCCTATCAGCTGTGGTGTGTGTAACCTGCCCCACACACGACAAACATAAGAAAATTGTCAACAAACACTCCCCATCTCGATGCAAAACCTCACCTTCCCCTTTGCTCTTTCAGTTTGCAGAACAAAGGACCAAACCACGGGCAGAGCCATGGGACGAATCATCAGTGTCCCCACCTACTCGGTGGTTGCAGTGACCAGCTCCGGGGGTCACCCAACACCAAGTCCTCCCCTGCAGGAGTTGACCCACTTGTTAGATGCTTGTCACATCTACAGCCTTCAACTCCAAATCCAGGGGTCCAGCCCTGGCCCCCTCCTGCTCTGCAAACCCCACTCCACCAAGCATCTCCATGTAAATGGCTGGCTGCCCCTCAGGATTGAGAAGTTCCCCTTCCACTCATTCTGTCCTAACTGTGGAGTCCTGCCCCAAGGCCACAGAAGTGGAGCCAGAACCAAGGTCACCTCCAAAATTGATTGAACCCCTTTGTAACCATTGCTCAAAACCCCCTTGATCATCACCAGCCAGCTCCCTGACCCCACGTTAGGCAAAAATACCCACCCAGTGCTCAGCGGTAGTGCCCTACTACTCACCTAACACCAACCTTCCAGCAGGAATTTTCTTTGTCTTGAGGCTGTAAAAATCGACTGCTAACCCACAAAAACTGTTGACTCTCCCTGGTCTATCAGGAGGCCAGCTCACTGTACTCGCAGTGCCCACATTATCTCTGCTCTTGGTTCTTAATAAACTCACTCCCTTCTGAAATGCCCTGGGTCTGGAAACTCTTTTCCAACACACACTTGAACTGCCACCCCACTAACATCTGCAAAACTAAAATCACTCACACAGGTACACGTGGGCCAGCTGCCCGGCCCCTTCCAGTCCTCCATGGATAGATCCTGGACATGAGTACTGTTCTTCTACAATGATTTCTTCTCAGCCCCCTAAGGTAGCAGCTGGTGTCTCCCAACCATGGGGGGCACAGCGAGTCTGCCCAAACCAAACCCTCTAGTCTTCTACTGACCTCTTCTCCAGCTTCCCTCCTGTACCTGTAGACCCCTAACCTACTCCCGTCAACTGTTACTTAACATTGGAAATGAATAGAAAAGCAGACAATTAAAAGCAGAAGAGAGGGATTTCCCTGGCAGTCCAGTGGTTAAGACTCGGTCCACCCACTGCAAGGGTCCACCCAATGCAAGGGGCTCAGTTTCGATCCCTGGTCAACTTGACCCCACATGACACAACCAAGACATAGCCAAATAAAAAATAATAATAATGATAAATAAATAAAGAGGAAAAAAATAGAATGGAGCAAGGTAAATAAAGTGGAGAGGGTAGAAGGGAAGGGCCCTGGTGAGGCAGATCCAAAGGTGAAAATGGACGTCAAAGCATATCAAGGTGGGGGACTTGCCTATTGTTCCAGTGGTTGAGACTTTGCCCTCCAATGCAGGGAGTGTGGGTTTGATTCCTGGTTGGAGAGCTAAGATCCCACATGAAAGAAAGTGTTAGTTGTTCAGTCGTGTCCGACTCTTTGCAACCCCATGGACTGTAGCCCACCAGGATCCTCTGTCCATAGGATTCTCCAGGCAAGAATACTACAGCAGGTTGCCATTCCCTTCTCCAGGGGATCTTCTCAGCACAGGGATCGAACCCCCATCTCCCACATTGTAGTAGATTCTTTACCACCTGAGCCTCCAGGGAAGCCCCTAGGATCCCACATGCCTTGCAGCCAAAAACCCAAAACCTAAAACAGAGGCAATGTTGTAACAAATTCAATAAAGACTTTAAAAACAGTCCACATCAAAAAGACTTTCAAAAAAAAGGAAAACCTCAAGGAGGGTTGCGCCATCAGAAGGAAACTGAGGAGTGAGGAAGGGGTCCGGAGGTGGATCTGAGCTGCCCGCCACGTCCTGCTGACACAGCAGGAGGTGTCAGCATCACTGTCACCACCGTCACCCAAGACTGCTCTCCACGTGGCAGCCGGACAGATATCAACATGCCAATATGATCAGGGACCCTTCCCTAGCCCCCACCCCAGACTCTGTTTAAAATATTTCCACCCTTTAGAATATAGACCAGATCATCCTTAACATTATCATATCTTAAAACCCTGCTCAGTTTCACAGCCACTTCATTGTTCCCCAAACTCCACCCTCTGACCACCAGAGCATCTTTCATCTACCAAACTTACCAGCCATTTCCGGCTTCCTTTGCACAGGCAGAGACTGCCGGAGATCCAGTCTCATTTACACCTCTGCTCCCAGCCAAGTAGTCTCCCCCTCAGGAAGCCTTCCCAGACCACTTTACACAAGGCAAATTATCCAGAACAGGGTTTTGAATCAGTGAAGCACTTGTCACGGTGGTGATTTCATATTGATTTTTCTATCAATTGATGTCTAAGCTCTTGGTTAGCAGGGACTCTGCTCGGTTTTGCTCATCCTGTGCCTGCAACTAAAGGGCACGTAAGAGCCCCAAGTGAATATTCAGCAAGTGAAGAAACAGGATGGTGGAGTTCTGTATAATCCACCACGCTGGGGGTAAGGTGGAGGGGAAAGGGCTGGCAGGAGCGCTCTGGGTACACGTGGAGGCTGCCCTTAGTTACTCGAAGCTACATCTACAAAAGGAGGAGTTTCTACCCGAAACTTTCCAAGCCTCCTAGGGGGTCAGAATTTTGCAATGGATCCCCACCCACCATGGGGCTCTAGAATTAACCCATAATCCTCACTGGAAGGACTGATGCTGAAGTTGAAGCTCCAATACTTTGGCCGTCTGATGTGAAGAGCCAACTCATTGGGAAAGATCCTGGTGCTGGGAAAGATCCTGGTGCTGGGAAAGATTGAAGGCAAGAGGAGAAAGGGCTACAGAGGATGAGATGGCTAGATGGCATCACTGATTCAATGGACATGAATAAATTAAACTGTGGGAAACAGTGGAGGACAGAGGAGCTTGGCATGCTGTAGTTAATGGGATCACAAACAGACACGTCTTAGCGACTGAACAATAACTTCTCCCCTCTTGGAATAGCCATACCCAAGCCTCAACCCAAGCCAATCCTGCCTTCAAAACAGAACTTCAGGGTAAATGGCTCAGAAGAATTGTAGATATGGAGTTTAACAGTTTCCTGCTCAGCCACTGCAAGAGGTTTTTGCTACTGTGACTGAGAAAGACATGTGGGAGCCATATCCTGTGAATATGGTGGAGCCTGGTTTGCTAACCCCATGCGTGCTTAAGCTCTGCACCCCATGAGTCCCTAAGTTCTGCACAAGCAGAGAAAATATCTTCTTTCCAGCCTACAGACAAATGCACGTCAAGCACCTAAAAAAGTGCTTAACACCCTACACAAGACAGAGGCTTCCAAACATCTCTGTCCCCGAATACATGTTAACACCCCGGAGCCAGCTGCCCTTTTCTTAACGTGTAAACGCACCCGAAACCAAAATTCATGAAACAGTCCTGACTGCACCTCACACACTCTGACCATCCCTATACTGTTTTATTTCTGTTTTAGTTGTGTTTTCACTGCTGTCATGGATAGAGTTTAAAACACAACAACAACATTATCTAGCCCTCTGAAACAGAGCTTATAGGTATATATCAAAGTCAAAGCATTAGTCACTCAGTCATGTCTGATTCTTTGCAACCCCATGGACTGTAGCACCCCAGGTGCCTCTGTCCATGGGATTCCCCAGGCAAGAATACTGGATTGGGTAGCCATTCCCTCCTCCAGGGGGTCTTCCCAACCCAGGGATAGAACATGGGTCTCCTGTATTTCAGGCAGATTCTTTATAGCCTGAGCCGCCGGAGAAGCCTGCAGGTGTGTATGGCACAAAGCAAGCAAAATATCTACACAGCTAGAAGTCAGGATAACAGTCACTCTAGGAAGGGGTGGGGGAGAGGCTGAAGGAAGCATTTGTGAAGTGTTCTTGGGCTCCTTGTTGATACACAAAAGTGCTCAGTTTGTAAAATTTCATCAAGCTGTACTTTTACGACTTGCACAATTTTCTGTATTCTTCAATACAGCACCTTAAGATCACTTCAGTAAGAATACCCTGAGGAGTTTAGAACTAGCTAGGAAAACAAGAAAAACACACCAGAAGAGATGAAATCAGCACAAGGCATAGTCAAAAGAAAGCTGGGGTACAAACTGGTCACTTTAAGCACCCCGGGGTCTGCATTCTCCATCTACTACAGTGCAGAATCTGACCGAGAGACCCTGGTCTGGGACACCTGGAGTCCATTCTGACTGACACCCTGGGAAAGTTCCAGGCTGAGAAGGAGCTGTAAGGAGGACCAGAAGGTCTCACAGGCAACAGGCCCGTTTCTCTGCCATTAATGGGAACTGGGATGATTGCCCTGAAAACTGCAAGGACAGGAAGGCTTCAGAAGAGGAGGTGATGCCTGAGTCAGGTCTTCCTTGAAGACCAGATAGAATCAGAGGAGGAAAAAGTTCAGGCAGGAGAATGGGATGCTTTAACAAGAGCAGTGACTTTGGGAAGGGACCACAGCAAGACTCCCAAGGCGAGGACCTGGATGTGGAAGACTTGTGGGCTCACATGCACATGAAGGACCCTTCTGGAGTAGGGTTGACATGGCAGGCAAAGGACTCCACTGAATGGTAAAGAATCTGCCTGCAACACAGGGGACCGGGTTCAATTCTTGGGTCAGGAAGATGCCCTGGCGGAGGGCATGGCAACCCCTCCAGTATTATTGCCTGGAGAATTCCATGGACAGAGGAGCCTGGCGAACTACAGTCTGTGGGGTCACAAAGACTTGGACATGACTGAGTACACACAGGCATAGGCAAGAGGAAGTGGAGGTGGGGGAGGGGACCCAGTGGAAAGAGCTTAACCAAGAATCTTCAGGCAGCCACGCTCCCCGGTGGCCTCCTCCAGGGGCCTTCTGCCCACCCCAGGAGGATGCCCCAGAACATCCCACCAAGCCCCGTGGTCCCTACCTGCCAGCCCAGCCAGGACCACCAGCATGGCCAGGACGCCTCTCTCGGCAGCTCCCTCCATCTCACATGTTCCTCCTCACCTGAGAAAGCAAAATAGGCAGGTCACAGTCTGTCTTCCTACAGAGACCCATAGGGACCCTCTGCGTGTCCCTGGAAAGATGAATCAGCACTTCTCAGCCTGACCAGCAGCGGCAACAGCCTCACCCGGGAACTTGTCGGTGGTTTGATTACCTGGTGGTGGTGGTTTAGTTATTCAGTCATGTCCGAGACTTTGCTACCCCATGGGCTGTAACTCTCCACGCTCCTCTGTCCATGGGATTCTCCAGGCAAGAATACTGGGGTGGGTTGCCATTGCCTTCTCCAGGGGATTTTCCTGGCCCGGGGATCAAACCCACATCTCCTGCCTCGCAGGGGTCTCCTGCATTGCAGGCGGATTCTTTATTGCTGAGCCACCAAGGAACTTCTTAGAAAAGCAGATTCTCAGGCCTACCCTGGACCTACTGGATTAGGTCTAGGGGGTGAGCAGGAAGAATTCCACCCAACGTTAAGCATGGGCCCAATTCTGGTACATACTCAATGTCTGAGAATCACTGTATTAAGTGATCTAGCTCCCAAGCCCATGCAGAAATCAGGGAAACACCTGCTATGCTCTACTATGAATCACAGAATCACTGGCTGTGAGGTCTGAGTGTGGGTTTACTGTTATTCCCTTCCATTATGACGCTTTAATCACTGAGAAAAAACAATCCTACCCATAAGTTTACATTATAAGAAGAAAAAGAGCAAAATGAAGACCTAGATCATAAGGTTATGAGAAGGTGGTAAGAGGTATGAAGACAAACAGTCGAGAGGAGTGTGTGTGAGGGGGTGTGTGGGATGTGCTGACTGATGTTTCAAAGGAGAGATTGGAGAAAGGCTCCCAAGACGGTGTCCCATGAGTGGGGAAGGCAGTGAAGTGACAGACAGGTGGGTAAGTGCAGAAGGGCCTCCCAGGCTGAACAGCAGGTGCAAAGGCCCTGGGGTGGGACTGTGCCTCCGTGTTCATTTGCGGAACCACAGAGAGACTCTGGGGCCTGGGCAGAGAGCGAAGGTGAGTGGAAGGGGAGTGGTCAGTGTAGACCAAGTGAGGCCTTGCTGGCCCCTTGCAGCACAGGGCGATCTTGTCATGCACTTATCTCGGCCCATCCTTTTTTCTCTTGCTCTCTCCCTATCCCCTCATTTTTAGTTTTATTTTTTCCTTCTCCCTGGGCCAGGCCTGTCCAAGACTGTCACCAGCACTGCTTGGAGCTCTTAAGTCATCCACTGAATGTGTTCTAAGTTGTCTCTAGAAACACCAGCTCCTCAGCCCCAGGAAAGGAGCTCTTTATTTCACCCATCCTTAGCACAGTGACCTGACCTGCCAGGAGTTTTCACTCTGACATCCACACAGATTTCAAACCTCCACTTGAGGGATACAACCCATCCCCCCAAACTGGGAGGCAACGGGTTCCACCAGAGACCCTGCACAGGGTCCTGTGATGAGCTGACCCACCCACCCTGGGCTCCATCCTATCTTCTCTTACAGGACGTAGGAGGCAGGCCCCACAACAACCCACAAGCAGAAATTCGAGAACTGAAATAGACACAGGTAATAACCGCATCACCTCTAGCTGCGAAAGGCACTGCATACAAGCTGCTGAATCAAACAGAATTGGGGTGGGAAGGATTGAGGACCCCCAGGCCCATGACCCCCTTTTGACATGGTAGCATGTCACTGGCTGCTCACGAGATCACGAGAAGGAATGTGGGATTTCCGCCTCTGTTTTCTGATGACTTTGGAAAGTGAATTTCCGCCTGTGTAAGAAACCACATCTGCCCGTGTGCAATTGTGTCATGTAAGGGGTTGTGGTACCTGTGGGGCAGGACCATCCCACCTCAGCCTCTTCCATCATCGAAAACAGGCTCTGCAAATCCCTGCAAATATGCTTTGATTCCAAGCTTCCCTGGAGAAGGGCATGGCTGCCCTCTCCAGCATTCTTGCCTGGGGAATTCCGTGGGCAGAGACGCCTGGCAGGCTACAGTCCCTGGTGGTCACAGAGTCAGACATGACTGAACAGCTCACACTTTCACTTTCACCAAGTTGTTCAGCAGCTGAACACAAACTAAAATCACGGGCTTCCCAGACTGATCCGAGATCCCAAATTACCAAGCACCAAATAAATCATTTACTAATTTTTTCAAGGTTCGATGAACACAGGAGACAAGTCAGTTGCTGGGCGAGTCACCTAGAACCTAGGCCAGAGCAGAGGGTGGAGGGGAAATTGAGCTGCTGAGCTTATAAAAGTCACACATTTTACCAAAAGCAATAAATGTGAAGTGTGGACCCAGCATCACTGAAACTGCTGCAAGAGCTTAAGGCCCACCATGAAGTATTTCTAGTCGCTGATGGTCAGGGTCACTCGGGCTGCTAACTAGAACCAGATGACAATTCACTTATTCTCTGTGTGACAGAATGAATCCATTCCTAAAAGCTCAGTAGGAGCCCCCAGGCTGGGGTTTAGAAACACCCCAAGTGCTACAGGAACCCAGATGTGGATTTGTGAGCAGACCCTATCTGAAGGGTGTGTATAGAGAGGAACTGTGATCAGGTTGATTTCAAGTTGTAACTGAGCTCAGACAAGTCCCTTTAATTAAAGGAAATCTCTGCGAGGCAATTTGCAAGTTCATATCTTGGTGGAGTAGTTTGAGATCTCACTTCTCATTCATTTTATTACAGATGACTTGCGTTACACAATTTTAGTTGAAGAACTGCAATGTTAAAAGCCTTAAATCTTATTAAATTGCACCAGGACAGGATTTAAATGCCAACCACTCATTACTGCCCAGACAAGGCAGAATCACTGAGCAGACCTGTCTGCCCCCAGCAAGCTCATCATCTCAGGAAGGAAATTGTTGAGTTCGATCATCTGGTTTATTTACCCATCACACACACACACACACACACACACACACACACACACACCCCGTTATGGCTGGGTTCTTGGAAACAGCCTGATATCACAAAATTCAGGGGCTGCAGACAACCTGTCTTTAAGCATCAGCATAAATTCTAAACCCCAAAACAAGGAAGACAGTGAGAATTTAAATTCTCACACAAGGGGCTGTCTGCAAACCTCTATGTGCACAGACAAAGGCACCCCCAGGCACCTCCTCCACCCAGTACCCCAGCTCAGGACGCCCCCACATTCATAGGGGCATTGACTCTGCCAGCCAGATGTGGGGAGTCTTAGAACTTCCAGAGATTTAGAGCAATTTCCTTTCCTTCAAACCTCTCATTGGGGAAATATATGTGTGTGAGCTCAGTCGCTCAATTGAGTCCAAATCTTTGCAACCCCATGGACTGTAGCCCGCCAGGTTCCTCTATCTGTGGTATTCTCCAGGCAAGAATATGGAGTGGATTGCCATTTCCTCCTCTAGGGAATCTTCCCAACCCACGGATCAAGCCTGAGTCTCCTGCATCTCCTGCATTGCAGAAGAATTCTTTACTGCTGAGCCACTGGGGAAGCCTTGGGAAAGAATAAACGTCATTTAAAGTCTGTTCGATGAATAACAAGCATGTTAGGAATTTTCCAGCTGAGTCTCAGCTTTCAACTCATCCCAAGAACAGCTCCCAGTGAAGCTAGAATTGAGAAACTGTCTCAAATTCCTACACTCACAGGGCAGCCCAGTGTTTTCATTTTAACTGTGTGGAATTTGGGAAACAGATATGCCTCAGATTGCTCTTTCCCCCAAGAGCAGCGAGCGGGCCTCCAGGAGCTAAGCACCATTTCCCCGGGGGGAAGCAGGAACCTGCGGGGAGTCCACTGGCCACACACCAGACCCAAGGGGTGTCTCACCTGTGGCAGGTGAATCTGCCTCTCCGGCCTTCAGCGAAGGTTCTGGGTCCCCTCTTCCCTGCCTCCGAGCTCTCCCCACACAAACGCAGGAACCAATCTGTCGGCCACTGGAGAAGCTGTAGGGTGCTCAGCTGTTACCAGGAAGTGGATCACCTCTCAGGCCGCGCGTGCACACAGAGGTGGCCTCCCGCCTCGGGCCCAGAGCAGCAGACTCTAGGTTAATCATCAGCCAGCCCGAGGGCAGGTCAGACGGACAACGCCGCGCCTCAGGGCCACGGCTGCCCTTCCACCTGGCCCCCACCCCTGGTTCCTGCCCACGAGCTTTCTCACATCGAGCTGAGCCAGGCCCGAGCCCTCCTGCCACAGTGGGAGGACAGCAGCCCCTTCCAGCCCACGGTCGTGGACACAGATATGGACGCGGACACGGCCAGCCGCCAGCCAACTTTGCTCACTGGGCTCCGGCACAGACCTGGGGCTGGCAAAGCCGGTTCCTGCTCCCAGCCAGGTTCCTCCACGTCCACAAGAACAGGTTTCTCTTGTGAAAGTAAAAAAAAAACAAAGTCCTGAGGGTGAAGTCCTCCGGAGTAGAGCCAGCTTTAAAAGTCACGTCCTGTTTCCCATGGAGGGTTCATTGGAGAACTGATAAAAGGTTTTCTACAGGCGTCCCAGGCTCCAGACCCTTGGAAGTGAATCAAGGAACTTTGCTTTTTGGAGCACTGATAATTCCCAAAAAAGGTCATCACCCCAAATCATGGAGCAACATCATACCAAATTGTCTACTCAATTAACAGTTCTTTCTGAGTTTCTGGCTGGTCTCCATCACATTCTAATCCAGTCATGAACTCAGGGCAAAGGTGTGGATCTTATACTGAGAGTAAGACCCTGAAAGGAATGAATATAGGGAAAACACTGTGCCTTCCAGATGAAGGGATTCAGAACACACCACCCCAAAACATGCCAATTTGGCATAAAGATTGTTTTTAAGCTGAAGACTTGAGATTCAACAGATGCAAAAAAAGGGGGCGGGGGGTGGAAATAACCTTCTCAGAGCTTCCCTTTTCTGATTGAAAACAGAGCACCTTCTGGGAAATTAGGTTGCCTTAAATTTCTCTCCGGGATAGGTCTATGCCCAGAAGAGAAAACACAAATGAAACCTACTCCAAATCCTGTCTCCAGGGGAGTTAATGATGCTAAGGAAAACAGCAAGACCACTCATGCCTGTGTAGACAAATGTCACCACAAATTTCTTAAATCCCATCTATCCTAAAAAAAACTGTGTTCTTTGCCTAAGACACCTTTTCTCAACTGCTTCCTTTCTCCTAGTAAGTTAGCTATGCAAGTCTTTAACCAATCAATGAGACAATTACCTCCTTTGTTGGCTCCCATATGCATACAAAATCTTTTCTGTTGTTAATCCAGCTATAGTCAGTTTAATTCACTGGCCTCAGGGACAGAACATAAGAGGATAGAAGAAAAGATTTTTTTTTTTTTTCCTTCTCAACCAGGCTCTGGGGCTAGGGACTGGTCAGAAAAATGGTAAACAAACAGGTAGACCTGGAGAATCAATATATTTGTCAAATATCTCACAAATATATGCAGGATTAAAGCATCTCATTTAGGAGTTGCGACCCTGAAGGGCCATGATAGTTCAAAACTCAAATGATTCCAGGGCAATGAGCCACAGGAACAAAAAATCAAAGACCAACATAACTCATTTTGCCTAATGTGCTTTTTTGTTTTCTTGGCTTCTTTCCATCCTGACATTTAGAATATCAGTCACCAGGCATCCTTTATATGTGGCATCTAAAAAGAAATGATGCAAATGAACTTACTTACAAAACAGAAAGAGATTCACAGACTTAGAGAATGAACTCAAGGTTGCTGGGGAGAAGGGATAGTTAGAAAGTTTGGGATGGACGTGTACACACTGCTGTATTTAAAATGGATAACTAGAAATGAAACAAAAAATTAAAAAAATAAAATGGAAAACCAACAAGGACCTACTGTATATCACAAGGAATTCTGCTCAATGTTTTGTGGCAGCCTGAGTGGGAGGGGAGCTTGGATACATGTATGTAGATACACAGAGAATGGATACGTGTGTATGTATGGCTGAGTCCCTTTGCTCTTCACCTGAAACTATCACAGCATTGTTAATGTGCTATACCACAATACAAAATAAAAACTTAAAAAAAAAACCAATATCAATCACCAGGAGTTGTGAGGACTGGACTTCAAATCACAATGGGAGTGTGGCCCTGTTGTCCGACTCTTTGTGACCTCCTGGACTGTAGCCCACCGGGCTCCTCTGTCCATGGAATTATCCTGGGAAGAATACTGGAGTGGGTTCCCATTTCCTTCTCTAGGGTATCTTTCCCACCCAGGGATTGAACCCGCATCTCCTGCATTGGCAGACAGGTTCTATATCACTGAGCCACCAGGGAAACCTTCAGAGCACAATATCAACCAACATTTCCAGCCCTACGCTCAACCTCAGCCCTACTACTGTACGATATCATTAGAGCTTCTTAGAAAAATTTAAGGTATAATAACAAAGAGTGTTTAGGGGAGGGGAAAGAAGAAAAATTTCCTCTAGTCTCTTCGGTGGCTGGGACCCTGGAAATTAAACTAACAAAGACAGATTAACCAGAGAAAAACAAGAGATTAGCAAGGATTTATTAACGTGTGCAGCACACATATGCAGAAGAAACTCAGTGCCCTGGTAACTCAGAGGGGCCGTTTGGACATGGGTTTGTCTAGGATCTAACAAGGAAATAAATCTCCAGAGAAGAGACAGGAAAAGGAGTTGAGGTTTGGAGATGGCAAACTGGGAAGGTAAGTACATGGGTGAGCCTAAAGAAAGATGAGTCTTGTCATGATAAGTTTTGCTCCGTAGATTCTGATAAAGAGCCTCCAGTGATTACCATCCTCTTGCCCTTCCTGGTACAGAAGAGGGGAGGGTGGAGTTTGTTTGGTGTCAGCTGTTTGTCAATCATCTTGAACTTAAAATAATCCATATGCAAAGAGGCCTATTTTAGGGTGGCCTGCTCTCAGTTCAGTTCAGTCGCTCAGTCGTGTCCGACTCTTTGCAACCCCATGAATTGCAGCACACCAGGCCTCCCTGTCCATCACCAACTCCTGGAGTTTACTCAAACTCATGTCCATTGAGTCGGTGATGCCATCCAGCCATCTCATCCTCTGTCATCCCCTTCTCCTCCTGCCCCCAATCCCTCCCAGCATCACTTTTTTCCAATGAGTTAACTCTTCGCATCAGGTGGCCAAAGTATTGGAGTTTCAGCTTCTACATCAGTCCTTCCAATGAACACCCAGGACTGATCTGCTTTAGGATGGACTTGTTGGATCTCCTTGCAGTCCAAGGGACTCTCAACAGTCTTCTCCAACACCACAGTTCAAAAGCATCAATTCTTCGGTGCTCAGCTTTCTTCACAGTCCAACTCTCACATCCATACATGACCACTGGAAAAACCATAGCCTTGACTAGACAGACCTTTGTTGGCAAAGTAATGTCTCTGCTTTTTAATATGCTGTCTAGGTTGGTCATAACTTTCCTTCCAAGGAGTAAGCGTCTTTTAATTTCATGGCTGCAATCACCATCTGCAGTGATTTTGGAGCCCAGAAAAATAAAGTCAGCCACTGTTTCCACTGTTTCCCCATCTATTTGCCATGAAGTGATGGGACCAGATGCCATGATCTTAGTTTTCTGAATGTTGAGCTTTAAGCCAACTTTTTCACTCTCCTCTTTCACTTTCATCAAGAGGCTTTTTAGTTCCTCTTCACTTTCTGCCATAAGGGTGGTGTCATCTGCATATCTGAGGTTATTGATATTTCTCCCGGCAATCTTGATTCCAGCTTGTGCTTCTTCCAGCCCAGCGTTTCTCATGATGTACTCTGCATATAAGTTAAATAAGCAGGGTGACAATATACAGCCTTGACGTACTCCTTTTCCTATTTGGAACCAGTCTGTTGTTTCATGTCCAGTTCTAACTGTTGCTTCCTGACCTGCATACAGGTTTCTCAAGAGGCAGATCAGGGGGTCTGGTATTCCCATCTCTTTCAGAATTTTCCACAGTTTATTGTGATCCACACAGTCGAAGGCTTTGGCATAGTCAACAAAGCAGAAATAAATGTTTTTCTGGGACTGGCCTGCTCTAGTCCCCCACAAAGGCTGTAACACCTTTGCATATGTAGTGACCATAACCACTGTCAGAAGTTCCACGGAATATACAGGGTCCTCCTCAACTGACCCCTGGCCCGGTGTATTCCTGTCCACCTGTTACTGAGAGGTTCCCCTAGGGCAAGAGCGGAAATGTACTAACAAGTCAGTCACTGGAAATGCAGCTCAAATTGTGTGGTCCTGAGGGATTTTTTTTTTTTTTAATTTGGAAGATTTGCATTCTTTCAAAGTTTGAGCACAAAGAGAAATTTCATTAATATTTTTAGCCTGTGCTCTTTTAAAATCACAAAGTTCAGATTTACATAAAACATATTCACACTGGAATTCCAATTGCGGTAAAGTCTCTGAAAGAAGCTTTGATGAAGGTTGGGGTGGGGAGGGAGGTCCTCTGGGTTTGAGCTCAGATGCAGTTGTGTTCTTGCCTGGAGAATCCCAGGGACAGGGGAACCTGGTGGGCTGCAGTCTATGGGGTGGCACAGAGTCAGACACGGCTGGAGCGACTTAGCCGCAGCAGCAGCAGCAGTTGAGTGGTGGGCAAGGCGTGTAAGGAGTGAATCGGGTGGGAAGGTGGAGGGCCCGGGAGACCACTTCTGGGACGGAGAGATCAGTGTGTATCTGGGCAGTAGGATGAAGGGCAGGAGGCCTTGTACCCTGAAGACATTAAAGAGCCTCATGGGACCTGAATGCAAATAGCTGGGGGAGGGGGTCGGGGGGGCCTTGGATGAGCACAGAGGAGAGGCAGGGTCCAGACCAAGGATTCAGACAAGAGGTTTGTCTTTAACGTCTAATATAGAAAGAAACATCAAGAAGAGTGGTGAAAACTTTGAAACGGGGAGAAAAGATTATGGGATTATCTGATTTAATAAGACCTGAGCTGTCTTTGAGCTTCTGGAAACTCTAAGTTTCTTAATTTTATGTGTCAACTGGATGGGAGCACACAGATAGCTGGTTAGACATCTTTCTCCGTGTGTCTGGGCAGGCACCTCCGGAAGATGTTGGCGTTTGAATCAGTAGACTGGAGCAAAGCAGATTCCTTCCCACTGTGGGTCACATCATGTCACATAATCTAGTCA